CTGGAGACACCAGTGTCTGGATGAACTTGTTTCAATACTTTGAAGATGTAGATAGCGTAGCTCTCCTTCCGCTTGCGTCTCTTCTTCTTGTCTCCCTTCGAAATGTTCTTCTGGGCCTTGCCGGCTTTCTTTGCTGCCTTTCCGCTGATTTTCGGTGCCATTGCTAATGTTAATCGTTTGACTGACGAACACGAACTGAATGCTCGCACTAGAGCTGTGCGCGTTTATATAGCGGTTCAGTGAGTGGATGACGTCAGCGATTCGAAATTCTAAGCTCCGCCCATTTCGTCGAGTGTGCCATACTGCGAAGCATATATAAGCAGACACGCAGCGCTGTGCTCACATCATTCAGTATTTGTCGTTCGTACGAGTAACAAGCGAAATGGCGAAAACAGCAAAGAAGACTAGCGCGAAGAAACCAGTTAAGAAGAAGATTGTCCCAAAAAAAGCGACTGCCACTCCATCTAAATCAGCAAATGTTACGAAATCTAAAGCTCCAACTCGAGTGTGGGCAACGAGCCAAGCAGAAGCAAACAAAATTATCGCTGCTTTATCACCAAAAACCAAAACTCCTTCGAAACGTAAACCGAAACCAAAAACTGTTCGCGTTTGGGCTACAAGTAAGGCAGAAGCAAAGAAAATTGTTGCAGGCAAGGTAGCAAAAAAATAATTTACCAACAATGTCTGAAAGGATATCGTTTGCAAAAAAACAGCCCTTTTCAGGGCTTCCAATTTTTTTTAAAGCATTTTAATGAATCAAATATTTTCAATATCCAAAAATTATTTATACAACTAACAGCTGTCATACCTCGTTCAAGTACTAGCTGTCATAAGTGCGAGCGAATACATTGTATACCACCGTCAAAATGTCTGTCGTACTTTGCAAAAACTATTATTTTCATCGAATAAATATTTTAAGTAAATGTGAAACTGACCGAAGAAAAAACGTTCACTTCTATACATGAAAAGGAAAAATACTTCTTTGAACGAAATACGTCAACCTAATTATAGAATTTCATAGAAATCATCATATTTTTAATGCATTATCACAAATATGTGTTTGTATTTTGTAAATTCTTTATAAAAATGACTTGATGGCCCTGTTTTTCTATGAATTTGAGTTTAAATCGGGTTGCATTTAGCCACTGAAACTGTACAAGAAGTCCTCTTTTGAAAAATATATCGAACAGTCAATTTCAATTTGGACAAGAATGCCAACAAAAATAAGTATATATCAACCAAGTATTGAATTCACTGATATAATTCTGCTTTTGCACTCGAATTGAATCAATTGCAAATAAATAGAAAAAATGTATGTGATTTTTGAAATTCTTCATAAAAACTATTTGGTGGCCCTGAAAAGGGCCGATTTTTTGTTGAGATCGGGAATGCGTTTAACCACCGAAACCGTACAAAGTACGGCCTTGGCGTTTCAAAGCGTACACGACATCCATAGCGGTGACAGTCTTTCGTTTGGCGTGTTCGGTGTATGTGACGGCATCACGAATGACATTTTCCAAAAACACTTTCAACACACCACGGGTTTCTTCGTAGATCAAGCCTGAGATACGCTTGACACCGCCACGACGAGCCAAACGACGGATGGCTGGCTTGGTGATACCTTGGATGTTATCACGCAATACTTTACGATGACGTTTAGCGCCACCTTTTCCCAATCCCTTTCCTCCTTTACCACGACCGGTCATTTTGATTTAGCTGGTAGTATGTTCTTCACTCGACGAAAGACTAACACGAACTGATGCCTGCTACTGCAGCGTCACCGTATTTATACACTTCTCGCGTCGTCGTCCCCATCGTACCAATCGTACGATTCGCGCTAAAAACTTCTCCTTCGGACAACCAAATATCGCTTTTCAACGATATTTCTAACAATTTTGTTTTGAATTTACATTATTTTTAACAATTTCCAACCAAAAATAAGAAAAACTTGACAAAAAGCCGAAAAAATTCGTAATTTGAAGAATAAATAAGAATAATAACGACAACACACGCACGACGATCGTAGCGTCGCTTCTCCTGCGTCAAAAAGTATAAATAGAGTGCGCTCTTTGTACGTTGTCATTCATTCTGCGTTTGACTTTCGTTGTGTAAGCATCGTAAACTAAAAAGAAGAAGAAGAAGAAGAAGTAAAATGGCCCGTACTAAGCAAACCGCTCGTAAATCAACTGGTGGAAAGGCACCACGTAAACAGCTCGCCACCAAAGCCGCTCGTAAGAGCGCTCCAGCCACCGGAGGTGTAAAGAAGCCACATCGTTACCGTCCAGGAACAGTCGCTCTTCGTGAGATTCGTCGTTACCAGAAATCGACGGAATTGTTGATCCGCAAACTGCCATTCCAACGGTTGGTTCGTGAAATCGCTCAAGATTTCAAGACCGACTTGCGTTTCCAGAGCTCAGCCGTTCTTGCTTTGCAAGAAGCCAGCGAAGCTTACTTGGTCGGTTTGTTTGAAGACACCAACTTGTGCGCCATCCACGCTAAACGTGTCACAATCATGCCAAAAGACATCCAATTGGCCCGTCGTATCCGTGGCGAACGTGCTTAAGTGGATATTGTCAACAATTTTACAAAAATCGGCCCTTTTCAGGGCCACCAATAACTAAATTATAAAGAATTTTCAAAACATCTTTCATATATTCTTCGTAGTTTTATTTTTATTTAAACATTTAAATTCGAAATTTCTCAAACTTGTAATTCTGAACAAATATCTTATAGTTATTCTTGCACTGAAACGATTGCAAGCGATTAAATCAATTTTTATTTTATTGAATGACTGTATGAATGTAAACGGCATAATATTGAAAAGAGTCACCATATACCTCATCTGTCTCATTTTTCCCATAAATTTCAAAAATTTATCTCGGTTTATATTCTATTTACCTATTGTTTAAAATATTTCATACGGTGAAAAGCTTCTCTTTGAAAACTGATGGGGAAACGATTAACTGTTCGATTATTGTGATTTTTCAATATCATGTATTTCAAAGATGAATCAAAAGTTGTGATTTAATAACAGCGATACGTTTATGATGCATTCGAATGAAATTGTTGAAATTTTGTAGTTTGATATTTTAAAATCTTCATAAATTATTGTTTGGTGGCCCTGAAAAGGGCCGTTTTTTGTACGGTTTTGCGAAAATTATGTCGAATTTACTTTGAACTGGTGTATTTGGTGACGGCTTTGGTTCCCTCACTGACGGCGTGCTTGGCCAATTCTCCTGGCAACAAGAGACGGACAGCCGTTTGGATTTCGCGACTAGTGATGGTTGACCGTTTGTTGTAGTGAGACAAACGCGATGCTTCAGCGGCGATACGCTCAAAGATATCGTTGACGAAACTGTTCATGATGGACATGGCCTTACTGGAGACACCAGTGTCTGGATGAACTTGTTTCAATACTTTGAAGATGTAGATAGCGTAGCTCTCCTTCCGCTTGCGTCTCTTCTTCTTGTCTCCCTTCGAAATGTTCTTCTGGGCCTTGCCGGCTTTCTTTGCTGCCTTTCCGCTGATTTTCGGTGCCATTGCTAATGTTAATCGTTTGACTGACGAACACGAACTGAATGCTCGCAC